ATTTTTTTTATAAAAGAATTATTTTATTTAGCTTTATTTTATTTATTTATTTAACCAGAGAGAGACAGAGTGAGAGAGAAAGAGAAAGTGAAAAAGCAAGCCACCAGGTCCAAGGACTTGAACCATGGTCAGCCATGTGGGAGTCCAGCGCCCTTAACCACCATGCTACCTGCCGGCCCCCCTACTTAGAATCTTATTTCCTGTCCTCTCCATCCTTGTACCCCATTCCTAATATTTATGACCTTTAAACAAGAAACGTAACTTATTTGTTACATTTCTTTTCTTTTTCTTTTCATTTTGAGAGGGATTTTTGCTATAGGGCTGTGCATTCGCCAGAGAGATAAAAAGTGAGAAATCACTCCTCAGGAAGGATGGCCATGCTGCAACCCCTTCTCCTCCATTCTCCTCTCAGGACTTTGGGCACACACACACACATGCACCCGGCATGAGTTTCAAGGATCCAGGTCTGGACTCGAACTGCGATTGGCCATGTGGGAATCCAGCAATGTAGCCACTATGCCATCTGCTGGTCCCTCTTATTTTTCTTTCTCCACTAGAATGAAAGCTCCATGAAGGAAGAGATTTTTGTCAGTTTTGTTGAAAAATATATGCCTGGAGCCTAAAGTAGTGTGCACTGGATGTACTCAGAAAGGATATGCTTACTGGGGACCAGCCAGGTGGCATGGTGGTTAAAGCAGCAGGATCTCACATGACTGACTGTGCAGTTCAAATCCCAGACCTGGCAGCTTGAAAAACACACCACCTATGTGCACGCATGCCCAAAATCCCGAGAGGAGAATGAAGAAGAGATTATGGCATGGCCATCCTCCCGGGGGTTGCTTTCTCACTTTCCCCCTCTCTCTGTTTCTCTCCAGTGTGTACCCACGCTGTATAGCAAAGCTAAAATATAAATAAATGCTCATCGAATGAGTGGGTGGACAGATTACGTAGGTAAAATGTCCAGGCTCGTGGCCAGCAGGTGGCGTGGTGGTTAAGGGCACTAGACTCCCACATGACCAACTGCAATTCGAGACAGGGACCTGGTAGCTTGCTTTCTCACTTTATCTCTCTGTTCAAATTTAAATAAATAAATAAATAAAATATATAAAATTTTTTTAAAAATGCCCAAGCTTTTTAGCTAACCATTTGTCCTCAGTGCATCCTCCGACATGCTCTGGCTGTCAGTCACTCTTCAGACTGACTTTGGAGCTGAAATCCCCCTATAAGAAACAATGCCCACTGAGAGTTCTATACGGTTGGGGGCATTATGCCTTGTGGGGACTGCTGCTCCCCACACATCTGGATTGCCTTCTTCTTTCACTTCATCCCATCAGGACTCAAAGCAGCCAAAATGATGGGTAGAGGGAGAAGCGAGGGGTCCTCGGGACAGTAGGGCAGGCTGCCATGCCATCAGCATTTCCCTCTCTCCAGAGAAGCCTCGGTCCTACCTAGGGGTCCTACCTAGCAAGGGAGTTCCCACTCAAGGCCTGGACTTGCCTCAGGAAAGGGCTGAGAACAGGGAGAAGATTCTGACTGAGCCATTTCAGAAGGCCCTTTCCTGTCTTCTAAAGTTGTCCCCTCCCCCCACCCAGGTCATTGTCTGGGTTATTCACATTCCGGAAGCACTGATGTGGCACTAAATATTCCTGCAGCTCCAGCCTTCTCCCCAGGGGCCTAGCGTCATCTCTCTGAGCCTGCTTTCTGGAATGTTTTTGGTATGAAGCATCCCAGCAGGTGAGGGGCAGGGCCCTGCAAGCTGGGATCCATGGTCCCATGTTTAGGTCTCCTTGGGGCTGGGATAGTAGATGTTCTCTTTCTTCTCAGATGCTCCTTCCCCACGGTTTCCCTCACATCCACACCCCTGGTCCCTAACATAGAAGGGGTTAAGCAAAGAGACTAGAGAGGACAATGACCAAATGGCTTCATGTTCTCTCTCCTTCTCTAAAAGTCTCTCTCTCCTCAGTCTCTGCTGAGATAATGCTTTTGGATAATGCTTTCCCTCTCCCTTTCATACCCTGGTTCCCACAAGGGGTCAGCTCTCCCTCTATGTGAGGCCCCCTCCCTCCCTCCTCCAGGTCCTGCCCACCCTCATTCATTTTTCACTGACCCCACTTTCTTCTTTCTGAACTCCCTCTTGGGGTTTATGGAGAGTAATGGTGGGCATTTTGAGTAGAGAGAATTACTATTATTCCTTGTGCTTGGAAACAGTCCAGTATGTAATGGGCGCTCAGTAAGTATTTGTAATTCCATTCCATTTTTCTTTTTCTTTTTTTTTTAAGAATTAATTCCATTTGTTATTATTTCTTAATTTGACCAGAGAGAGACAGAGAGAGAGAAAGGGAAAGCCAGAAAGCAAGCCACCAGGTCCGGTACTCGAACCACAATTGGCCATGTGGGAACCCAGTGCTTTTAGCCACCACGCCACCTGTCAGCCCTGGCCATTCCATTTTTCTACCCACTTCTCCAAACCCAGTCCTTCAAAGGAATCTGCCTAAGCACTGCTGACCACTCCCCACCCCTCAAGATTTGGTATCTAGGTTTGAAAGTTCTATTTTTTTATCTTTAAGGTTTTTGCCACAGGGTGCAGGCACTGGCCAGGGAGAGACAGTGGCAGGGAAAATGAGAAACCACCAAAGGGGATTGGCTCCACTGCAACCCCTTCTCCATACTCCTGGGGTTTGGGGAACACACATACAGGTGTCAAGCCGCAGGATCTGGAACTCAAACTGTGGTCATATGGAAGTCTAGCACCTTAAATACTATGTCACCTGCTGGCCCCTGAAGATCTAGGTTTGAAGTCTAGTTTCCTACTTGCTAGCTAGGCAAGTACTTTAATGTTTTTGAGCTTCATTTTCTTCTGTAAAATAAGGATGATAAAAATAGTACTGAACTAACGCTATAAACAGGCTGGCATGAGTGTACATGAAGTCCCTGGGACACAAGCACTTGACAAATGATAGACCCTATTAGTATCTCCCAAGGTGGTTCTTTCCATCAACCAAACTCCCCTTCAACATTATCTAACCTGATAACGAATTCTCATCAAATTATTTACATGCATGCCACCTTGCTGCCCAGTTTGCAACCTCCTCGAGCCCAGATCTTATTTGTACACCAGGGATAGCGATTCCATGTTCCACAGAGCTTACTACACTACAGGGCTTGATTCATGGCTGGAAGGAATAAGTGAGCACTGCTAACTCCACAGCTGGAACCGGCTTCCTGAGGGTAAAGACCACTCCCCCTGTATTTTTTCAGTGTGTGCCCAGTCTAAGCACTCCGTAGGACCTCAGAGACTTCACAGCTAACAACCCGTTATTGCCTGGACAGTTTGCTCTCCCATCTTGATCCTGTAGTGGCCTTATGCTTCCCAGCTCTTCGCAGACTTGGTGACTGCCAGCTCTCTAGGTGCAGACAGGGAAGGTCCAGTGCCCCAGAGGGCAGGCACAGCGCCGACAGAACCACAGGTATGCGGAGGAGCTGTGAGCAGGAGCTGGCCAGAACTGGGCATGTTTGAGGGCCTGTGAATCCTGGAGCGGCTGAAGCCAGAACCCAGAGGCTGCCGGCTGGTACTTTGTCCTCAGCCTCCCTTTCATCCCCAGCTGCAGAGCATGGGAGTTTCTCAATGGAGCAGGCGTGTGGGGAATGCTCCGCAGGGGGCAAAGGGGGCCGGTGTGGGGGGTGGACATTCCAGACATTCTTTACTTCCACTGGGAGCCTGGTAGTGGGGGTGGAGGCTCGGAGAAGCAGTCCAGCACTATGAAAAGGGGATTTCTGTGGAGGGAGAGAATAAAGGCTGTGGGGGTGTTTTCAAATGGCAGGGACAGGGCTTCTAGCAGGGGGAGAAGGGGAGGGAGGCGAGGATGGAGGCGGGGCTGGATAATCTGCCAAACGGTGTTCTTCCATTAGTGCCAAAGGCAAGAACAGATGGGGACCCTGGGCCCAGGGCTTTCCTGTCTGGGTGCTTATCAGGATCCAGTTGGAACTGGGGATGCGAGTCTAACTGGAGCTTTGGGAAACTGAAGTTTGTTTTTTTGTTGTTGTTTTTGCCATGAGGGGCATAAACTTGCCTAAGAGAGACAGAAGGAGAGCGAGAAATCACCTCCCTTGGGGGATGGCCAGCCATAGTCCCTTCTCCTCCATTCTCCTGGGGTCTGGGGTATGTATGGACACATGCCTGGCATGACTCTCAAGTGGCCAGCTCTGGGACTTGAACCATGGTCAGCCATGTGGAAATCCGACACCTTAACCATCACACCACCTGCTTGTCCCGGGAGCTCGATTTTAAAAAATATTTTGGGGGGACCAGCAGGTGGCATGGTGGTTAAGGTGCAGGCCACTAAAAAACCTCTGTGTGTGTGTGTGTGTCTCTCTCTCTCTGGTCAAATTAAAATAAATGAATAAATAAATAAATCTTGAAAAAATTTATTTTTTGTTTGCTTGTTTTGATTGAGCAATTCCTATATCCGTTCTCCCCCTGCAGCACAAAGGAATGTGCATTAAGAGAAAGTTCAGAGACCTGCACTTCCACAACCCAAAGAGAACAGGTCCTGCTTCTAGTCACCATTCCGCTTTTAATGGAGTGGTTCCATCTGACCACAGTGGAAGGGAGGCAGGACCATCAGGTAGACCGCCAGGGTTTACCTGCTTTGGGGGGACTGAGGGGCAGCAGCGACCATCCCCAGACAGTGCAATGAGGTGGTGGGTTTGTTAAAGACTCTGGTCCCATGGCCGGTGGGGAATCACCGCGATACCTCTGGTACACATAACTTAGATGTCACTGTGGATCTCCCCAGAAGGTAACATTCATGTTACAATACTGAAAACAGCAAGATTCATTTCTTTTAAAACACGGAGTTAAGAACATAAAAATAAATAAGGACATTCGAGGGTCCTGAAAGCCCAGGGGAATAGACACACCCACTGTCTAGACTTCAGGAACAGCTTAGAGGCAGACGTTTGGAGTCTTTGAGGTCCCAGGTGGAGTCCAGAGGAGTCTGGGCTCCTCGAGATGCAGTTCATACAGCAGCCAAAGCCTTTTCAAGCCTTTTCGATTCATAGCAGTGACTGTAGGAGGCTCTGCAGGAGGCTTGGGCCCGCTTTGTAGGGTGGGGAAGAGGAGAGAACCTTTGAGGAAACAGAGGTTGTGTTCTCTTACTCCCAGGATAAATAAGGAAGGGTGTCTCCAGACCATTCCAGGACACCCCGGGCACATTAGGGGTATGGGGTTCCAGTGTCAGTGGCTGGTGGGGATGGTAATGTGTGTGAAGACCTCCTCCCCACTTTGGCACACAATGAGCAGAGGAGGGGCCCCTTGAAGGCACTGCATCGTGGCAATTAAGGAGCTGGTCAACCGAGGGCGCTCTTCCCAGGGCCCTGCAGCACCACCGTGTGTACAAGAAAAAGGCAACCTGGTCCCACACGGGTATGCACACTCTGCCCATTACCTTCTTGGATCCCCAGGGTTAAAGACCTTGAACCCTCGACGCGCTTCATCTGCCTGCTGCCCACACCCAGCCCTCCCCGAGGCTCCTTGTAAAATGTCTCAGCCTTCTGGGCTGGGACGCTGGTTCTGGAGGTAGGGAAGAAGGCACCTGCCCCTTAGAGGGAAGCCAGGTGCCTCTCAGAGTGTGCCCAGGCGAGGTCGCCCCTCTAGCCCTCAGCTGAGCTTGGGGTAGGCCCCCAGAACCTGCTGGTAGGCCCCTGTGACCTCCTGGCAGTCTGTCAGGGAGAAGCAGCTCTCTCCCAGCGAGTCCTGCCGCCAGCGCCGCAGGCAGCCCCCAGGGCCCTCTGAGTGGGGCTTCTCGAGCCCCATGAGGTTGTCCACAGACACACAGCCCCGCAAGGGGGGCTTAGGGAGCAGATCGGGCAGGTCCAGCTGTTCGAAGGACTCGGAGGACAGGATGCTGTCCTCACTCACAGCCCCTGTGGGACGGCTGGCCCGGACTGGGGGGCGAGGAGAGGCCAGTTTGTCCAGGGACCCATAGGCAGCAGGGGCTGTGAGTTCTGAGGCTGTGTGGGAGAACTTGCCGTTGAGCTTGAGGATGCCCTTGCGGTGCAAGAGCAGCCCCGAGGCCTGGGGGGGCTTCTGCTCCATCGCGTCCCCACTCACAAAGACGTCCCCTGTATCCAAGAGCTCCCCTGACTCACTGGGCTCAGGAGAAGAGTAGTAGCCTGACTCGCGCTGTGGGGACTTCTTCAGGATGCCCTTCTTGGGGAGCAGGGGGGCAGCCTGCCCTGGGCTTGTGGGGATGGGGCTGAGTTCCTGAGGTTCCTCTTTTGTCCCCTCTGAGGAGGGCGAGGCCTTCTTCTTGAGAATGCCCTTTGGCAGCTTGAGGTTGCCCTTGACAGGGCGAGGGGAGCTGTCATCGGCCGGGTTGCCTTGGAGAGACTGGGCCATGTCGTTCTCCTTGCGGGACTTCTTGAGCGAGTGCTGGCGCTCCAGGCCGGGGGTGGTGCTCCCCGCGCCAGGCCCATGCTGCCTGAAGAAGGTGCGCACCTTGGCGCTGTTCTCCAGGAGGGGGCGGGAGGTCCGCCGGAGCCAGTCTGCCACGGAGGCCCGGGAGTCGCCGCCAGTGTGCCCACCCTCACGCAGAGCCTCCTGCTCCCCGACACGGGTGGTGTAGCCCCAGTTGACCCACCAATGACTGGCCACATCTTCCAGGGTGGCCCGGCGGGTGGGGTTCACCATTAACAGCCACCGGATCAGGCCACAGGCATCTGGAATGTAAAGACAGGGAGAGGCATGGATTTGGCAGCTCCAGAATGGGGCACCCCACGGTCCCCTCACCAGCTTATCCCATTATAGCTAAGACACTGCTCACTCCTGGCCAAGGTCACTCCCACCTGGGGCTCTGACCCAATGGCTCAGCCAGCCCCCCAGTCTCCAGCTCTCCTGGACTGCCTCTGCCAGTACTGTCCTCACGGCCCCTCAGGGCTGTGAACTCCCATTAACCTTTGTTTGTATGTTCCTGCAAATTCCCTTTCTCTCCACTGAGATCCAGCCCTCCGAGGGTGGGGCCCGTTCCCAAGGGTAAACTAAATGCCTATACCCTTCTCCCTGCCTCCTACAAAAAGATTTCTGAGGATGAGGGCGAAAGCAATAGGAAAAGAGACACGTGTCACAAAGAGGATCTAAATCCAATCTTAGGAAAAGCACTTCCCAAATACAACCAAGCCTGCCCATAAGGAAAGGAAGAGAGAAGCCCCTCCTTCCATGGAGGTGGCCGACCCTGGACACAGAGATGTCAGCAGGAGGTGGGGTAGAGGCGCCCTTATCTACAGAGGGTCACATCAGACTGCTGCCCTTTACTTTAGTAAGGGACTTGGTGAAGGACACCTGGCCCTGGATGAGAACACACTCACTCACCGGAGGGTTTGGGTGGCTCCCGGTAGGCCCCGTTGCTGATTTGTTTCACCAGCGTCTTATGGTCCTGTCCATCAAAGGGCATGGTGCCATGCACTAGGATGTAGAGGAGAACCCCCAGGGACCAGCTGTCCACCTGAGAGAGAGAGATCAGTGAGAATGCTCACATGCCACAGCGGGACAGCTGCTGGCCTGGCCTTCAACACTGGAGGAGGAACGCGTACACAGTGAACTGACTCGGAGGCCAGGGTTCTGAGGACCCCTTCTCGTACCTGGAGGCACGGGGGTGGGGGGAAGGGCACTGCAGAAGGAGCTGAGGCTCGGAGGGGGAGAAGCTGTTGATCTCCTTGGGAGTGACAGCCACAAGCAGGGAAGCAGAAGCCAGGTCGACCCTTCTGGACTAGTGAGGTGGTCGTGGCGGTCACCACCACTACATCACTCCAGGGACGTGGGATGGGGTGCTGGGAAAGGCCACGGAAACAGGAAGGTGAGGGGTGGGGGAAAGGACTAGACTGGGAGCCAGGAGACTTAAATTTCCAGTACTAGTTCTGCCACTGCTGGCCAGAGACCGGGCAAGGCACTACCTCTGGGGCCCTTGGTTCTGTGCTCTGTAAAAGGGAGTACCTAGAAAACTAGCCCATGTGTCTCATGGATCTAATGTCACATTACATGACCGAAGCAGGCTGGTGGAGGGGGTGGCAGGAGGCCACTTACCTCTGGGCCCGTGTAGGGCTTCCCATTGACGATCTCAGGCGAGGCATAGAGGGGGCTCCCACAGAATGTCTGCAGGAACTTGCCTTGGTGGTAGAGGCTGGAGAGGCCGAAGTCGGCAATCTGTAGAAGTGGGACAAACGGAGACTTAGGTCACACCAAGGCTTGGGCTGCTCCACGGCTCTCTGCCTGTACCTCTCCAGACCCTGGGGAAATCCAGGCCCCAGCAGAAGCAAAGGGCCTCATGACCCCACACCACCGTGGGCACTGTCAGCATAGTTCAGATCCTGGAGGAGCCCTGATGAGGTGAATCAGTGAGGAGGGCCCAGGCAGAGGTGTTGGGGGCTCCAGGACCCTTGCTGCTCCCCAGATCCAGGGATACCCTCTTCTGCCTCCAAACATTCTGTTCCAGCAAGCCCAGCTCCTCTGAGAGCCTGCTATGGCCCCCAGGTCTTTCCTATGAAGCCGTCAGGTGTCTCATGGCTCCTGGAGCCCCTGCCATCAGTTCTGCCTCCCAGTCAGACCGTATGCCCCCACAGTGATGCCCCTTCCACCTCTTCTGAAGCTCCTAGCCCTGGAGAGACCCTGGATGAGGCTCAATGGACACTTCTTTTTTTAAATTTATATAATTTTATTTGTTATTATTATTATTTAAATTTGACCAGAGATTGACAGAAACAGAGAAAGGGAAAGTGAGAAAGCAAGCCATTCCAACACCAGTCACCCATGTCAGAGTCCAGCACCTTAACCACCATGCCACCTGCCAGCCCCTCAATGGACACTTCTTGATTAAAAGGAGTCAAGCCAACATCTCAAGCCAATGTCACAGCCCTCAGAAGTACACAGCCCTGGGACCAGCAGTTAGCATAATGGCTATGTCGCTGGACTCCCACGTAGTTGACCGTGGTTCGCGTCCCGGACCCGGTGGCTTAAAACTCACGCCGGGTGCGTGTGCGTGTGTGCCCAAGATCCCGAGAGGAGAATGGAGGAGAAGGGATTGCGGCGTGGCCATCCTCCCTGGGGATTTCTCGCTTTCTGCCTCTCTGTCTCTCTCTGGCGAGCGCATGCGTCTTATAGCAAAAACCTCTCAAAAAAAAAAAAAGAAAAAAAAGAAGCACACAGCCCTGTAACCAATTAACCATGCAGGCTTGAGCTACCCTTCCTAGCAAGGGGCTCATCTCTCTGCTCATACCTAGGCAGGGACTTGGAGCCAGGAACCTGGAGACATCCTAGTTTAGGGAAGCAGCAATGGAGAGGGCAGGACAAAGGCCAGGGCTGTGGTTCTAGCCTAGGAGCAGGGTCTTCCCACAGGGCTCCCAGAACCACCTGACCCCGAGGGCTAGAGAGGCCCCAGCCCCATCCTCTTGCTCCATGGAGACAGCCTTTCCCATGGACCCTCAGAGAGGGTCTGTGGCCAGTGCCCTGCTGCTCCCACCCCCTCACCCCCTCAGAGGTTTCCGTGTGTCCAGGGTGGAGAAGGGTTGTTTATGCAGCTCTGGCTCCTTCGTTTATGGTTTTATTGGCCTCTTATCAAGCAGTTGCCAGTTGAAGCTCATAATGAGGTTCATGATTGGTCCAGGTAGGAAAGTTCGTGCCTGTCCTAGTTATGTGGGTTTATCGGCCCTGGCTTCCCGCCCTCTGGTCAGCATCAGAGAAAGCCCCACCTGCTCCAGGAATTGTCTGGATAAGTGGAATGAACTCAGTACCAGGGCACCACAGGGCAAGTCAGGAGGAGCTTCGGGAAGATTCTAAGGAGGGTCAGAGTGCAGGGTTCCCCTCCCAGACCTCCCTGCCTGATCCAGCTCTTGCCATCTTCCCCATCCAGCCCTGAGATGTGAGTCTACCCCACCAACAGGAACTTCTCCTTGCTGAGCTAAACATATCCACCTAGACAAGGGGATCCAGTAGCTGCAGGAAGCAGGAAGCCTGGGCTGGAGAGCTTGGTCCATGGAGAAAGGTGGCCAAAGGGCTACTAAGTGCAGCAGATTAAGGCATCATGTGTACATGTGCGTGTGAGCAAGTGTGCAAGTGGGGAGACGCGCTCAGGCCGTGACCCTCTCCCTGCCAGTCCCAATGTTCTGAGCAAAAGCTGACGCTAGATCTAGACAGCTGCCAGCCTGTGATGGCAAAGAGCCCTGTCCTGGGTGTCTCAGTCACTTGCTAGCTGTGAGACTTTGTGGAGGTCACTCCAATCTTGAGGCCTCCATTCTCCCTCCATAAAATGAGGTGTTAGAGTGGACGATGGCAGAAGTCCCTAGCCATACCAACAGAGCAGTTTTGAGCTTTGTCTGCTCCTTCTGGAACCCACTAAGAGCTTAGAGGGCTGCGGCTGGGAATGGTGCAGAAAAGCTAGGGTGGGGGTGAGGGAGAACTTCTGGGACAAGTGGGCTCACCTTGATATTTCCGTTGGCATCTAAGAGGATGTTCTCCAGTTTGAGATCTCGGTGCACAACCCCATTCTGAAAGAGTGAGGACATGGTCAGAGGTCGCCAGGGAAGGGAAGGGAATGAGGGAGGTAAACTCGAAGGGAGCTTAGTGGGGTTGAGCACGGGGTGGGTCAGAGTTCAGTCCCCCTCCCAGGCCTCCCTGACTGGGCCAGCCCTTGCCATTTCCCCAGCCTAGTCCTGCGATCTGAGTTTTTCAACTCAGATAAACTCAGTTTATCCCATTAACACGAACTTCTCCTGACTTACTTCGAGGTCATTGTCACTGGTATACAGTGCAAGAAATCACGGGTTCTTCAACCCGGCCCCAAATGCAGAGCCAGACCCCAGCACTTCCTTGTCTGAGTCCAGAATCCAGCCTTGCCTCCCTTTCTGTCTCCTTGTGTGGTCCTGACAAGTCATGGACTCTTTCTGGTCCAAACCTGCCTCAGAGCCCCACGGTCACCCCTTGGGAGCAGGGTTGGGGCAGGTGTGTGCTCACCTGGTGGCAATAGTGCACCGCAGAGACGATCTGCCGGAAGAAATGCCGGGCGTCACGCTCGCTGAGCCGCTGCCGCTCGTTGATGTAGTCGTACAGGTCACCCTGGCTGGCGTACTCCATGACAATCACGATCTTACTGCGGTTCTCAAACACTAGGCACAGCAAGGCGGATGGACCGTCAGGCCCTCCCGGAGTGCACTGCTCGCCACCGGGGGTCACCTACTCGCTCCAGCCCCAACCAGACATGGCCTCCCTGCAAGGATGTCTCCCCTGTACCCTCTGGAGGTGGGGGAGTGGGGAGAACTCACATACACACACACGCATGCGCACACACACAAGCATGTGCATACTGCCTAATAATCATCAGTGACCACAGGAGGGCAAATAAGGGCAGGAAAGGGGTCTCGAAGCTCTCAGCATCGTTTAGAAGAGATGAGTTAAGATCAAGGGCAGTGGTTCTCCCTCCCTCTCCTTGGAATTTCAAGCATTGGAGGAGTCTAAAAACTACCCTGCAGGGGCTGGCAGGTGGCATGGTGGTTTAGACACTGCACTCTCACACGGCTGACCACAGTTCAAGTTCCAGACCTGGCAGCTTGCGTTCTCTCTCTCTCTCTCTCTCTACAACTGTACACCAATGACGACGACCACGAAGTAGGTCAGTCAGGAGTTCGTGTTAATGGGATAAACTGAGTTTACGTGAGTTGATAAACTCAGATCTCAGGACTAGGCTTTATTGAAGAATAATAATAAATAAATAAAATTAAAAAACAAAACAAAGAACAAAGCAAAACCAAAAAAAAAAAACCCCACTACCCTGCAAACTCCCAGGAAGGCACAGACATGACTGGATAAGCATGAAAGACCAGGCTCTTTAGTCCAGATTCCAGAACTTGTCCATCTTATGACCTTGGGGAAATCTCTTCTAGATAGATCAGTAACAATACAGGTTTGTTGGGTGATCTTGGACAAGTTACTTAACCACTGTGCCTCAGTCTCCGCATTTGAAAAGTAAGAAAATAATGGTATACCTCCCAGGGCTAGGGTGAGAAGCAGATTAAAAAGCCAGTGCTCACTCTGGGGCCAGGTGAGCAGGCGGGCATGGGTCTGACACAGAAATAAGTACTCAGTAAGGACACCTGCTAACATATTTGTAATTAGCATCCTCATGCATAAATTTGAGAAAAATCATGCCAATAACAATGCCTGCTTTGAGGCTTAGAAAAAGGATTAAAGTACAGCAAAGGGAGCCAGCAGGTGGCACAGTGGTTAGGGTGCTGGAATTCCCACATGGCTGACCACAGTTTGAGTCCCAGACCTGGAGGCTTGCTTTCTCACTCTCCCTCTCTTCCTCTCTCTCTCTCTCTCTGTCTTTCTCTGGCAAAACTCAAGTGAAATAAATAAATGATAAGTTCCTTTTTTAAAAGTACAGGAAAGAAAACTCCGAACTACAGCCTACCATGGAGCACTGCGATATCCGTGCACCTCCACCCTTTGACTTCTCAGCCAGAGTTTCTAGGCAAGGGCCTCATGCATAAAGGCCTCACACATAGAAGCAATCAATCAATTAATGACAATTCATTGACAGCTGAGTTCCTGGCTCTTCTCCATGTATAGGAGGGTCTTTCTTGCTACCTCAGGCCCTGTCTCAGCTCCAGCCCCGTGAACAGGTAGGGAGTGGCTGGTTCACCAAGCTGGCCTGTCAGCTGGGCGTGTGTCAGAACATGGATGTACAGACATTGCTCCTTTGTGTCAAACGGGTCCTATGAGTTTGGCTTGCTCGGCCAGCCCCAGAGCTATTGCTGTCTGGTTTCTAAGAAGGAGCTGAGGGAGGAGGCTTTCCCCAAGAGGAGTCTCTGCTCTAGGCAATGAGATTCACAGCCAGGACTGTGCTTTTTTCTGGGGGAACACAGATTAGTGGCCCTGGCCCACGTGGCCTAGTCTCCTGGTGCCTGGCTGGGACTCTACCCTGCGGTTTTCCATCTCTGTGGGAGGTGCGTGCACCCTTTGTGCCTTAAGACTGGGGGCCGAGAGCCAGCCCAGGCACATTCTGGAGAGCAGCAAGGTTATAGGTCAGTTCCTAGGACTGACACGTGCCCCAGCCTACAGCCCCTGAAGCCTATAGTGGAATGGCGGACAGTAACCATGATGCCCTTACATCTGCTGAATCTGAGGGTGCAAGAAGCCACATCCTAGGCTTCCGAGCTCAGTTCCCACGCCACACAAAGATGGGTGTGGGGGAGAATTCACACACGTGCACGCCTACACACGCACACACATACACTGTCCAATCACCATGCTCAGCCTGGCTTAGCCAGTACTATGTCATCTGCCCACTCTTCCCTCAGGGAAGTACACAGAGATACAATCAGCCATCTCAGCTACTTGTCTGGGCTCCTCATGGGACAGGCTCAGGCCACAGGGCCATGTCAGTGGCTCTAAAGCAGAGACTGAGAGCAAAGACATCTCTCTTTCTTCCCACCAGGACTCTTCAGACAGAGGGCAAAGCCACAGGCTCTCCCCGCTCCCTCCCACTGCTACTCTATCTCCTGCTTCCTGTCTAATTAGTATTATGTAAAGGCTCGAAGCAGACAGGTGTGTGGGGGCAGGTGGGCAGGTGCTCCCCTTCAGTCCATCGTCACCTTCTCTTGCTCACTTTGTTGTCTGGATCACGGGGAAGAGGACAGCTGGGGTGGTGAGGCCACACTGATGTCAGAGAAGAGGAGGCTGAGAGGGACAAGAGGTAGGAGCCAGCCCATGCGAGAATGATTCAGAGTACAGGTCTGACTCGAGGAGGCCTGGTTCTTGGGATGTGTGAAGAATAGCACCCGTGAACCTGACACAGGGGCAGGTCTGTGTACAGTCCAGCCTCTGCCCAGTGGCTAAGGATCTCACTGGGTTGGGCAGGTACTATTCAAATAGGAAAAAAAAAAAAAAGGACAAAAACAGCCCAAAAGCCTGCCATTCCTTGCGTACCTCCCCTGCATAGATCGCTGGGTGGCATTATCCAGTTTGATCTTTGCAACCACCTCGTGACATAGATGGGATTACTGCATTTGATAAATGAGGAACTGACTTGCTCCAAGTCATGCAGCTGGGTTTCAAATCCTGCTTTTGCCCAAGCCTAGACCTATGTCATTTTTGTTTTTCATGTATCTGCTCCCACTCCTCTTATGCATGCACAAGTGCACATAAACACACACGTGCATGTGTGCAGGCATGCGCGCGTGCACACACACACACACACACACACACATGCACACAACTCCCAGCTTCACATGCCCCTCCTCTGTACCTTCATGGATGGCAATGATGTGGGGGTGGTTGAGTGATGACATGATCTCAATCTCCCGACGTATGTGCATCAGATCTTGCTCATCTTTGATTTTGTCTTTCCGGATTGACTTGATGGCCACCTGAGGTCAAAGAAAGCAGGAGAATGAGAAGAAAGATCTTGCATGTAAAGGCATCCCGGAGGACACGCTAGGGACCCTGGTCCCAGTGGTCTGCTCTGCCTGGAGCTGCTACAGAGGTGTCACGTGGCACCATGCAGCAGGAAGTACAGGCCTCTTTACTAAGAATCTACCAGTGAACAAGGAAAGTAACAGCCTGGCCCCCAGATGCACAGGGCTGAGGCTTTATGACTTATGAGGCAAATCTGCCCTTCCACGCCGAGAACAAGGAGTGGGACGGATGGTGCACCATTGGATCCTTGATGCTGAGTCCAGTGCCCGGCACACAGCAGCCCCTGAATACCGAGTGTGCCGTTAGGAAATGAACGGGCCTTTACAACCACCCTGGGAGGTAGGCCCAGAAAGCACAGTCACCCCCATTTACAGGGAATGAAACCGGGACCCGCTCCAGGTCACACAGCCATTAACTGGCATACAGTGGGCATGGACTGCTGGCCATCTGATTTGAGCTTGATACTTTTTTCTACCACAGTGCCCTAATTTGCTGTGAACAGCCAGCCTCAAGCCAAATGGTGTCAACAAACTAGCATCCACCAGAACATGAATGGATAAACAAAATGTGGTATTTCCACACAGCAGAATATTATTCAGCCACAGAAAGCAATACAATTCCAACACGTGCTATGACATGAAACCCTGAAAACATGCTAAGTGGAAGAAAGCAGACGCAAAAGGACAAACGGGATGGTTCCACTCATAGGTGGTAGGTACCTAGAATAAGCAAATTCCCAGAGCCAAAGAGAATAGAGGTTGCCAGGGGTGGGGTGGAGGGCAGAATTTCAAGTTCTTATTTAACAAGCATAGACTTTCTGTTTGGGATGCTGAAGAAGTTTTGGAATTGGTCAGCAGTGATGGTTCACAAGATCATGAATGTACTTAATATACCACTAAATTGTACTCTTTTTTTAAATTAAGTTTTTAAGGATCATTTTACTTAACTTTATTTGTTTGTTTATTTATTGATTTATTTTGATCTGACTAGAGAGAGAGAGCGTGAGAGAGAGAGAGGGAAAGTGAAAAAGCAAACTGCGAACCGTGGTCAGCCATGTGGGAGTCCAGTGCCCTTAACCACCTCTCTCTCTCTCTCTCTTTCTCACTCGTGTGTAAGTGCATGTGGCCTCTGGCAATTAAATAAAGTAAATTATGGGGCTGGCAAGTGGCATGGTGGTTAAGGTGACTGGACTCCCACTTGGCTGACCGTGGTTCGAGTCCCAGACCTGGCAGCTTGCTTTCTCATTTTCCTCCTCTCTCTCTGTCTCTCTCTGATCAACCTCAAACAATAAAACAAAATAATGACAATGAATAAAATTAAATAATTATTTTTAAAAAGTAAATTTAAAAATCACCAAAAATAATTATTGGGGGCAGGAGGGCAACACCAGTCTCCAGGTAAGGAATGATTCCCCCAGGGACAAACAGGAGAACAATCAAACAGCTCTGTGGGCCTTGCTATCTTGGTCTGTAAAGGTGAGAAATACCATATAAGGATTACCCCCTCTGGCTGTGCGAGTGCTAGGTGCAGGAAGGGTGGAGCGAGACAAGAGGAAATGGAGAAAGAACTGCTAAAAAGCAGTCAAGCGAAGCTCTAAGAGATTAAGGAGTCCCAGTCTCTCTGCTCCATCCCACTGGGCAGCGGCCAGGGCACAATGACCAGCCATGCTGATGAGAAAGGGCAGGACAGCAGCCAGCAGGCCCCAGCTGTGGATGTGTGGGAGACACTGCTGGGCGATGTCACCGGCCGGGTCTCCAGGTTCTGTCACTCTCCCTGTGGGCAAGCCCCACCCCCAGCTCAGCTTCAGTTTTCATTTCTGTGAAATGAACAGGTTGAACTTTGAAGTTTTAGGGGTGTTCCTGCTCTGACTCTATGCCATTCGCTGCACAAATGCCACAGGGCCCTCGGAGGCTGTGATGACGTTGGCCTGGGGTGCGGGGTGAGGGTGGGGGCGGGGTGTCGCAGGCCCATCAGTTCCGGCAAGTGCTGTCCAAGGACACCAGCGGTAAATATCAGACTTCCTCTTCCTCGGAGATAGGCGAGTCAGGAGAAATCTGAAGACACGGACAGACGTAAACAGCTCCTCATTCAATTTCCCAGGAGGGTTTGCCTCCCCTCAAGATTCAAAGGAAGACAGAAAAAAAGGAAACTTCTGCCCGCGGGGAGGGGCCTCTAATCCACCCGTCCACAGGGCTCAGAGGCAGACAATGGCTTCCGGCTCGCGGGGCCAGGGTCCCGTCGGACAAGAATGCGGAACAGCCCTAATCTCCTAAGAGGAACGGCTCACAAAGCCCGGGCTGGTCACCCCGGCAACGGGCCAGGGATGGCGTGCCCTCCGCCCCCTCCTCCCCTGGGCTGCATCCGTGAAAGAGGGGAGGCCCAGGGCAGGGAGGACAATGGCAGGCGGGCGGGATGCTCTCCCCGGAACCGCCTCTGAAGATGCCGGAGGGGGCCACGCTGCAGCCGCCACCGCGAGCTGCACTGGAGGTTACAGCTGCAGCTGCAGGGGACGACGAGGCTGCCTCCACACTTCTACTCCAAGCCGTCCATCTCTCCCCAGTGAGCTAAGCCTAAAGATCTCTGGGCTTGGTATTGGGCAGGAGGAAGAGGGCTTGAATCTTCCTCGGACTGAGAGGAATGTCTCTCTCTTGGGTTCCACCTGGAACATCCGTCCCACAATAGCTCTCTCCACACCCCTTTCTCTCCTGGAATGAGAGATTTTATGGACTTTCCTTTTTATTTTAGTTCTTTCCTCTTTAATGGGCTTTATTTCTATAATCAGACAATGGATAAAGTTCTATGAGCGCTATTGAAACAACAGTCCATAAAAAGTGTATTAATAGATGGGGCCAGCAGGTGGTGTGGTGGTGAAGGCGCTGGACACTCCCACATGGCTGACCAAGGTTGGAGTCCTGGACCCGGTGGCTTGCTTTCTCACTTTCACTTTCTCTGTGTCTCTCTCTAGTCAAATGAAAAGGAATGAATGAATGAATAAAACTAAATAAATAATTTTTTAAAAGTGTATTAATAGAAAGTAAAAGCACCTACATGTAAACACACATCTAGACTATTAGAAACACTTAAGAGCTTCAGATGCACATATATGTAAAAACAAGACACATCTTGAATATATAGTCATGTACAGACATCACAGGCTTAAGGGACAGAGTTGTGAAGACCGCAAGGTATAAAAGAAACAAAGCTCTGGGACCAGCAGGTGACATAGTGGTTTAGGTGCTGGACTCTCACATGGCAGATGGCAGGTCAAGTCCCAGATCTGGCAGCTTGAAACTCACACCGGGCACATGTGCTTGTGTGCCCAAAATTCTGAGGGAAGAACGGAGAAGAAGGGATTGTTGTATGGTCAGCTCACTTTCTCTGTCTCTCCTGGTGAGCATGCTGCCTTATAGCAAAAAAGAAAAACCTCTCAAAAGAAAGAAAGAAGGTTCTAAAAAAGAAATAAATGAAAGAAGAAGAGGAGTAAAGGGAGAGCCTGGGCAAACAGTGTACAAGAAGAACTCTCAGATCTATCACTTTCACCTCTGGAAGCCTGTGGTTCTAAATCAGAATGGTCCATCTATTTTTTTTTTCCTTGTTTCCATCAGTCCCCAGTCAGGTGGCAGACAAAAAGAGTGATGTGTCAGTGTCCTCCTGGTGGGGCTAGGCCATGGCTCCCTAACCTATCCCGGCCTTCACAAGATAGGCCTCCAGCTATCTGCTGCCTAGGCTGTCAAAGTAAATGGGACAGAGCAATTGCTCACGCCTAGACAGAGTTCAGCAGACAGCTTTTAACGACTGTTTGCTGGTAAACACACATCACAAATAAGTGTATTGGTTAGTCACTGTGTTGATCTTTGACTGATGAGGCCAGTGCGCAGGGAAGATTTTCTCCCCTTCCACCCAGACAGAGATTCAACCTTGGTTATGAGGACTAACTTTCAGGAAACTTTGCTCTTATCTGCAAGATAGCTGGACAGCTATTTTCTAGAATAAAAATAAGCTGATTAAAGCCAAATAAAAATAAGCTGATTAAAGCTGAATGGGTCATCCAGAGGGAGGAAGACCACTTTTCCAGAGACAGTCCCAGTTTGTCCTGGTATAATTATTAATATAGCCCCTTTTACTCTCCAAAGTGTCTAAGTGTAGACAATACATTACATGGCCACTCTACTCAGAGGGGAAAGGAAAAACCAAGCCCAATAATGATGACATCAATGTGACCATCTGGTGAAAGAGTTGGTATTAAGAGCGTGTACATCAAGGCCACCCCACAGCCCAGTGATAAAGGAATGGGATCCCACATGGCAACGGCTGTTCGAATCTCAGCTTGCAGCTTGAAAACTACACTGGGTGCATGTGAGTACATGTCTCAAATCGCAACAGGATGGAGAAATGGTGGAGAAGGGATTGCAGCATGACCATGCCCCGTTAGAGGGTGCTTTCTCCTTACCCCCGCCCCCCCCATCCATCTCTCTCTGAGGAGCGCACATAGTCTATGGCAACTTGTTTTTATATTTAACTTTATTTGCTTATTTATTTATTTATTTTTAATTTGATCAGAAAGGGACAGAGTGAGAAGGAGAGAAAGCAAGCCTCCAGGTCTGGGACTCAAACCATGGTTGGCCATATTAGAGTCCAGTGCCCTTAACCATCATGCCACCTGCCCGCCCTGTCTATGGCAATTAAAAAAAAAATAGAGACATCAAATCCTTATTAAGTGGTCTGGTTAAATGGTATGGTTAGTTGGAATGCCCTCATCAGAAAAGTAAAAGGACACTTATTCTCCAACATCTGCTGCAGGCCTACAATGTGCTAGGTATTAGAGAGTCAGACAAAAACTGCAGTTCCTGTGCTGAGGCTCTCAGTCCAGTGGGAGGAATGGCAATCAAAACAACTCCAGTGTGGGGTGCAGTTGAGGTCCCTGCCTGCCAACGGGCTCAGGAGCACTGGA